TTAAATTTGGTGATGAAAATCATTAAAAATAAGAGAAGATAATACAAGGAAATGAAATTGGAAATTTTGTGGATTTTGATATTATAGAGCGGAAGTCGAAATTTTGAAAATGAAAAAGTGAATCATTTTTCATTTTACAATTCTCAAATTGAAGTTTTAACAGCAAAAAAACATCGATGAGTTTTTAGGAGATAAAAGGTTTATCAAAAAATTGGAAATTTTTAAGTAGTAAAGTTGATTTATTTTAAAGTAAAATTTGTTTATTATTTATTGTACATTGTTATTAACAATATAATACAAACATTTTTTTGTACATTAAATATAAATATTTATTATAAAGGGTTGAAAACCCCGCTTTTGATAATTTAAAAGTAAAATTATAATAATATTATAGTTTTTTGGATTGTTTATTATTTTCTTTTTCCTCGATTTGATTCAAAAAGGTAAACAAGAGCTTTTCTGACTTTTTCAAGATGCCGATGTTTGTAATTAAAATTTGCGCATTATTTTTTGGTAAAAAGGATTTAGAACATTGGAAAGTAAAGTAAAGATTACAAAAATATTTTTGTAATCTTATCAAACAAAACAAACTGTTTATTCAAAAAATAAAAAAACAAAAACATTTTAATCAAAATTGAACAAATAAAAACAAAAGTAACTAATCATTCAATTAAACAAGGGCGACTTTAGATTGAAAATCTAATAATTTTACTGTTAGATTAAGATTTGTTGAATATCTAACGTTTAGATAACCAACTGTTAGATTATAAAAAATAAAACATTTGGCAAAATAATAAAAAAGTTAAAATGTTATTCGATTTAATAACCAATCAATTTTTTATTTTGTGTTTCTTAATTTCCAATTATTTATTTTCAAGGCAATTTCATTTTTATAATACCATTTAATTGAATAAAAAGACAATAATACTTAAATGGTTTAAATTATCTTAACAATGATTTTTGGTGTTCAAATTCGAAACTTAAAAAAATAAATACCATTTTAAAACTATTAAATCAAACAAATGGAACAAATTAAAAAGGATAGAAATGTTGCGAAAATTGTCGACATTTCAAAATATATTCTTTGTCCAGATGTCCTTGATAACAACACCGTACAGATTGTAGTAGATAAACAAAGTAACAAATATATTGTATGGCAATTTTTCAATGATGGGAATACAAAAGATACAATGAAATGCAAGTTATGTGGTGCTATAATTCCATTTGTTGTAACCACCTTTGACCCCAGAGTGCCAATTTGGAATACAATACAAAATGATGAATTAAATAACACAATGTCTAAAAATGAAAAAAAAACAATGAAAAACACACTTGAAAAATCATTTTCTGAAATACCACAATATTTTAATGATGAACTTAATGGAACACGTTAAAAAAAAGCAGATTGTTGTTTTGATCAACCACATTAAATTAAAGCACTTTGAAGTTCTTTATATAATAGAAGAAAACAAAAAGAAAAGGAAAAAAATGACAGAAATAGACAAAACTACAAAAGACTTTAAGGAAAAACAAATAATAACACTAAAATGGGCCATCACTTCAAAAATACCACTTTCAATTTTTAACAAAACGGAGACACTTCAAATGTTTAGTTTTATTACAAATAAAACATTTATTCCACTTCGTCTGGATGATGCCAAAGAGTCATTGAAGGAATTGTTCAATATTGAAAAATCTCAAATTGTAAATAGTCTTAAAACCTCGCTTTCAAAACATTTTACAATGGATGGATGGTACGGGGAAAGCAACAAAAAAATATTCGGGTATTAATTGTCAAGGAACATCGAGCAATTTTGAAATATTTCATTATTTCATTGGAATTGTTGGATTGGAAAATGGTTCCAAAAGTTCACAAATAAAAGCCAAATTTATGGAATATTTGGCGTCATTTCCGATTACTTATGACCCAAAACATAATTATGTTATTACAGATAATGGAAAAGACTATAAATTGGCATTTAATACACTATCTGGAATGTCACAAAAAGTAAGACAGGCAGTTAAAAAAAATTAAAGAAAAAATTAAAGGAAGTGAAAAAAGAAAAAAAACAGCAAATGGTGTAACTCGAAAACTTACCAGTCCTAAATAAAAACCAACAAAAAGAACAGAAATTGAACAAACATTTGAAGAATTGGACAAAATAGACACGTATATTGGATGTGCAGCACATACAATACAATTAACCATTAAAAATTCAACACTTCTCGTTAAAGAGTTAAAATGCTTTATCGAACACGTTGAAGCGGTTGCAAAAGATGTAAATTGTAACTGGGAAAAATGTCAAAAGACAATAAAAAATAAATAGAGAACTCGAATACAAACAAAAAACAGTAAATAAACAACAAAATGAAATTTTAAGAAATGGTGAAAATGAAGAAAAAAGAGAATCATTTGAAGAAACTGTAAATGAAGACGACTTTGACACAAAAGATGAAGAATGTATTTTTGATGAAATTTTTAATGACAATTTGAAGACTCAACAACAGAAATGGAAAAAATAAAATTCTGTAAACAAACAAAATGCGTGCTTCGAGGTGAGATGCGTTTTGACACTGTTTTTGATTTGTTGGAAAGTGTAGCAAACAAGAAAGCGGCTATTGATAGAATGGCAGAAATGGGGATTATTGGTTGTTTAAATTTTATTGAATGGGATTTGATTTTTTCAATGACTTATCTTTTAAAACCAACAAAAGACTTCACTGTAAAAGTGGGGTCAACAGAAAACCCAACTATCCCTTCTGTTATTCCAGCTTTGGCTGAAATCACACTTCGTTATACTGAATATTTGTCAAAAGAAGGAATTGTTTTTGACAAAACAAAATACACTGACATATTTCCAATATATAAAGAAAACTATTTTAAATTCCATTTCAAAAACATTAGTTAAAAATTGTTTTATAATGTTATTAAAGTTATGGTCGAGAAAGAAGGAGGAGAATATGTTCCAATTTCATTTTTTGGAACACTAATAGAATGGGCGTTGTTGGCGCTAAGTGAAATACTGTTTCGGTTCACCAATTATTTGACATCCAAACCTCACGTTATATCAATGATATTATGTTCTTGGTATAAATTGTCTTTTGA